GACAATTTTCAATTGGCTGTTATCTTCCACCCTGTAAGGACAGAGTCTCTCATTTTATGCTGCTAGGAAGTATAACCCAGGATAAATTCCCTACAAGTTTCAGGCCACATCTGCTTTTCCTTACTCCCATCTTGCTTTAGGACCACTGAGGTTACAGATCTGTGCCACTATACCTAGCTCTTGGGCTTTCACAGCTATTTTTTTTAAAGATTTATTTATTTATTAAGTATACAGTGGTCTGCCTGTATATGTCCCTGAAGGCAAAAAGAGGGCACCAGATCATAGATGGTTGTGAGCTACCATGTGGTTGCTGGGAATTGAACTCAGGACCTTTGTAAATGCAGCCAGTGCCCTTCACCTCTGAACCATCTCTCTAACCCCCAAAGCTATGTTTTTAGCCCCCACCACTGTGCCACCCACACCAGGGAGCACCTCTTTCCTCATACTTATTAGGAGTAGTTTCAGCTGTTTGGGGTTTCATTTGCTCTTCTTTCTCCCCTCAGAGTATAATCTGTCCTTTGTTATCCAGATTCACAGAATTGGGTGGAGGAGACTTTTAATCTTTTGGGCTAAGTCCCAGAGTAAATACTGCACTTACGAGTCACTTACAGTTTGGACCAGAGAAAAACATAGAAACTGGAGCCAACAGAAGAACATTGTATATGTATATGGAAGTAAAACCATGAAAAAGTAAATGAAATTTAGTACTATTTCTCTGTGAGGAAAAGCAATACAGCACTGAAGCCTTTGTGCCTTAATCCTGCCACACACACACACATGCACACACACGCACGCACACACACACTTACTTTATTTTTAAAGATTTATTCATTTTTATTTTATGTATCTAGGTGCTTGCCTGCATGTACATACGTGGACCACACATGCTCTTGGTGTCTGCAAAGCCCTAAAGAGGACATCAGCTCCCCTGAGACTGGAGTTACAGAGGGTTGTGAGCTACCATGTGGGTGCTAGGAACTGAACGCTGGTCCTCTGCACTCAAGCAGCAAGCACTCTTAACCACTGAGTCATGCCCCTAGACCTCAAGCAGCATCTTTTAAATCGTGAAACCCACTCACAGGTTTCTGAAGCATGAATTATTGCCGGATGCCTAGACAATATCACTCATAACCTCGAAGTCCTGAAAGAATCGGTATTCATCTAAATCGGCTTCATTTTGTTTGGTTTTGTTTTTTCCCTTTGATTTGTATTTGATGTGGACGAATATTTTGCCTGCAAGTAAGAACGTCTGTGTAGCACATTATGTGCAGTATCCATGGAGCCAAAAGAGGAGGTCAGCGTCCCTGGGGGTGGAGTGACAGACAGCTGGGAGCTGCCATGGAGATGCTGAAAATCAAACCCTGGTCCTGTTGAAGAGCAACCACTGCTGAGCCGTTTCTCCAGTTCCTAAATCAAGTTTTTTTTTTTGCTTGTTTGTTAATTAGTTAATTAATTAATTTATTTTACATCTCAGCCTCAGTTTCAAGGTTTTATTTGGAAGTCCTGGAGGTATTATAGGATGACTGTCAGGGCCAAATTAAATCACTATTTAAAATTTTTGTAAAACCAGCTAGGTGGGTGCCCTTCTGAGTTTCCCGCTATAATATTATTTCAAATGTGTAGTCCTATGTGGTGTCTTTAGTTCAATATGCATAAGTAGTAAGTTTCTAGTCCTTCCTAGCATGCTTTTTACCCTGAGTTCAGGTTTTACTTTATAAAATTTTGAAGACAGTTATTCTTAAATTTGTTGCTTTCTTCCCACAGTGGATTATTTATAACTGTAAAGAATGTTCTGGAAGAGCCTGCTAATCTTATTGTCCTGAGGAAAGGGTTTAGCAATCATTTAGTTTGCCTGGGAGGGGTTTGCCATGCAAAGACAGCTGCATTTTAAAGTGGTATCGCCTGGCTGACATTGCAAACACTAATGAAAGGACCCATCTTGTGGTCCCCACAAAAATCCTGAAGGAAATTTAAATGGGTTGGACCAAAACTGTAGGAGCCCCAAGGCCTCCCTAGTCCTAATCCAAGCTTTCTTCCATCCCTAACATTTCTTTTATTGAGAACTTCCCATTGTTTGGGGAGGGTAAAGATAATCTGCTTGGTCAGTTTTTCTGGAGAGATATAAACATCTACTCATGTCAAATAAGGCACTATCATCAGAGCCAAGAATCTATTTAGAGAGCTGTTGAGGTTACTGGGGTACCTACAGGAATGTGAGTGACTCAAAGGAACACCCCAGCATGGAGGACAACTCACCAAAGTTGCTTCTGTGGGCCTGCCTGCATCATTTGCCATCAGCACCACTGGGGCACTTATGTAACCTCAGAGGCAGGCCTCTCCAATCTCCAAGCACTCCGAGTTGCTTCTGAGTCTTCTGAATGCCCCTCCTTTGTCTATGGGAAACTACAAAGCATGGCTGTCCGTCTAAAGGCCATCTTCCTGAGGGTGCACTCAGTTTTACCTGATCCATACTCACCTTTTGCCTGGGCCTTCTTCCTTTCCTTCCAGGTGCCAGGGCAAAGGACGCCACCAGCATTTGATTTCTGGCTTTCAGCATTGCTCTTTGTTGTGAAAAAACTTATGTATGGCAGCTACTAGTTTAAAGAAGCTCATTCTTTCTGGGGTGAGCATCAATTGTCATCATCTCTTTCATTTATCTGGGGTAGTTTGCCCTAACAGTCATATTTATCATATTTTAATCATATGGTCTTCCTGGCTCTACAGCTATACAATAGGGGTAAGCTTGGTAAGATTTCTCTCTACAATCGAGAGTCTCAATAGGCATCTTTCAAGACCTCTTCTACTTCATTAAGATTTTTGTTTGGGGAGTCTCACGATCCCACCAGAATAAATAGGGTAACCATTTAGTGGAGCTTTCCCATCTGCTTTATTTGGGTCCGATTTTGTGTCATCATCTCCCTCCTATCCAGACTTTCTATGAGGAAATGAAGAAAAGGTATTGCTTGGCCTCCAAACCATCAGAGGACTCAACGATCTTCCCATAGCACCATAATGTATCATAAAAGAATACACTTAAGGAAATTCCTTAATCTTTTTCTCTTACAATAAAAATATAATTAAACATGCTGGAATAATTAAGTCAACCTTTCTCAAACCCCAAGGCATATTACGGCCAGGCTACAATGCCACAAAATATTATCTATTTATTGGCCACAATAAATCAGACTGTTTTCCTAGACTTAGTACCAGGGGACCCCCCACTAAGAAAAGATAACACATTCCCCAATTTGACAAGTTGAAAAAAAATCACAACCACATAGAATGCATTAGTTATTTTGGTGCCCCGATAACAAAACACCTGCCAGGAGCAACTTGAGGGAGGAAGGGTTTATTTTGGATCAGAGGGAAGAGTCCCTCCTGACGGGACTGGTATGATGTGACCTCAAGGGGTGGCAAACAGAAACACAGAGACAGAGGCTATGATCAGTGACTCCTAGACTAATCAGGCTACCCAACTTCCCAAAACAGTTCCACCAACTGGGAGGGAACAGGGCGATCAAATATGTGATCCAGTCAGAAGTATTTCACAAGCAAGCCAACACACAGGCTAAATGTACTCAAGAAAGGGAAGATAAATAACAGTCTCTCTCTCTCTCTCTCTCTCTCTCTCTCTCTCTCTCTCTCTCTCTCTCTCACACACACACACACACACACACACAGCAGAAACAGAAGTCTGGCCGCAAATTTTAAGGTAAAAGTCCTATAATTATTCCATCTCCTAGAACATTATCTAAAATATTCAAGCCATTACTTGTCTTCTCTTGGAGTAGGTCCCTATGCGGAGTGGGGAAAGGGGTGCTAGACAGTACGTTTGGAGGGAACACGGTTCCTACCCTTTCCCATAGCTCTTTCTTAGCCCACCACTTAGATCACACTGAGAGGGTGTGATCGCCTCCAGCAATGTAGGACTAGAGAGTACTAAGGAAGGGAAGAGCTGTGAATTTCCTGCGAATTTTTGCCGAACAATGACTCTGTAAAATAGAAAACAGATCTTGGGTGGCAGGGACAGCTAGTCCTTAGGGGAAACAGCAGGCAAGAGCAAAATAAAAATCCCACTGAGAATTGGAGCTCATGGGAAATGGCTCATGTAAGATTTCACTAAGGCCGAAAAACTCTCCATTCTCTATGAGAATAATGAGACTCTGGGGCTCACCTCGCTGCTCCTTGGGAACCTTAGCTCTGACGACACAAAGCCACGTTCGAGGGGAGGCTTGCCTCAATTCACGGAGCAAACGTGCACGCGTCTTCACTCTTTGGAAAGGACACACGGAGGAGTGTTCTTATCACCCTAGATAGCATTAGCTTTTGGTTTGGCTCAGTGGCGTAGCTACTGTGGAACCTTAGTCGCTGGCTAATCTAAGCAAACTAAAAACCAAAAACCAGCTGGCGTGTATAAGCCAGCTGAAAAAATGTGTCATGAGTGGAACCAAGTGATTCCGCCCATTGGTAAATTTGCAAGAAAATTAGTATTTATTTGTCCAAACTCATTCTTCCATTCCTTTCATTTAGGTTCTTATCAGAGTGGTACTTCAAATATTATAAGGCTTTTCAAATTCTCCCTTGATTACACTGGGTTTGGCTTTCAAACACCGCAGTAAATTCCGTCGCTCACTATACCTCATCTTCTAAAAGTCCTACCATCTCTTAGCATCACCACTATAGGGACCAAGCTTTTAATAATGCAAATCTCTGGGGTTCCACACTCAAACTGTATCCGAACCATAGCACCTACCAATCAATGGGCTGTGGCAGACACAGCTTTATACGTATTTTGTCCTCAGCCAGACCAAATGTGGGAATCACCTCCACTAAGAAGTCCCTGCTGAAGGGACTAAGTGATCCCTAATATTCCCCAACTCCACCCTTTCACATGTGCTCTCCTTGAATCTTAAAATTAGCCTGTGATCTGATTTCATTACCCTTTTTCCCCCACCCCCACCTCCCCCCACCCCGTCCGTATTTTGCCTCCTATCTCTTACCTGTGCTGTGCATACTCATATTTTCAATTCGGAAAATAAGCGAGGAGGATATTTCTTAAAGCCATGATTCTCCACGCTGCAGAGGGCTTCAGCAAGTCCGGGCTTCTGAGATTGGAGCAGGGATGCGAAGTGCGGGGGGTGAGGTGGGGGTGTTTGTCACAAATGTGAAGTACTACTGCCACCTAGAGGCTAGACACAAAAATGCAACCTGGATCTCTTTATACATACAAGACAGTTTCCCACCTTAAGAACCAATGGAAGAATGGATGAAGAAAGTATGGAATATATACATATTAGAGTACTACTCAGCAGTAAAAAACAATGACTTCTATCCCACTAAACTCAGGAACACGACAAGGCTGTCCACTCTCTCCATACCTCTTCAATATAGTGCTTGAAGTTCTAGCAATAGCAATAAGAGAACATAATGGGATCAGGGAAATTCGAATTGGAAAGGAAGAAGTGAAACTTTCGTTATTTGCAGATGATATGACAGTGTACATAAGCGACCCCCAAAACTCCACCAAAGAACTCATAAAGCTGATAAACACCTTTAGTATTTTGGCAGGATACAAGATCAACTCCAAAAAATCAGTCGCCCTCCTATACACAAAGGATATGGAAGCAGAGAGGGAAATCAGAGAAGCTTCACCATTCACGATAGCCACAAACAGCATAAAATATCTTGGGGTAAATCTAACCAAGGAAGTGAAAGATCTATTTGACAAGAAATTTAAGGCATTAAAGAAAGAAATTGAAGAGGATATCAGAAAATGGAAGGACCTCCCTTGCTCTTGGATTGGGAGGATCAACATAGTAAAAATGGCAATTCTACCAAAGGCAATTTATAGATTCAATGCAATCCCCATCAAGATCCCATCAAAATTCTTCACAGATCTTGACAGGACAATAATCAACTTTATATGAAAAAACAAAAAACCCAGGATAGCCAAAACAATCCTATACAATACAGGATCTTCTGGAGGCATTACCATCCCTGACTTCAAACTCTATTACAGAGCTACAGTGATAAAAACAGTGTGGTACTGGCATAAAAACAGAGAAGTCGACCAATGGAATCGTATAGAAGACCCGGATTTTAACCCACAAACCTAGGATCAACTCATTTTTGATAAAGGAGCTAAAAGTATACAATGGAAGAAAGAAAGCATCTTCAACAAATGGTGCTGGCACAACTGGATGTCAACCTGTAGAAGAATGAAAATAGACCCATATCTATCACCATGCACAAAACTTAAGTCCAAATGGATTAAAGACCTGAATATCAGCCCGAACACATTGAACCTGATAGAAGAGAAAGTGGGAAGTACCCTACAACAGATGGGCACAGGAGATTGCTTCCTATGTTTAACCCCAGAAGCACAGACATTAAGGGCAACATTGAATAAATACGACCTCCTGAGACTGAGAAGCTTCTGTAAAGCAAAGGACACTGTCACTAAGGCAAAAAGGCAACCTACTGACTGCGAGAAGATCTTCACCAACCCCGCAACAGACAAAGGTCTGATCTACAAAATATATAGAGAACTCAAGAAACTAGACTTTAAAATGCTAATTAACCCAATTAAAAAATGGGGCACTGAACTGAACAGAGAATTCTCAACAGAAGAAGTTCAAATGGCCAAAAGACGCTTAAGGTCATGCTCAACCTCCTTAGCGATCAGGGAAATGCAAATCAAAACAACTTTGAGATATCATTTTACACCTGTCAGAATGGCTAAAATCAAAAACACCAATGATAGCCTTTGCTGGAGAGGCTGTGGAGGAAGGGGTACCCTCATCCATTGCTGGTGGGAATGCAATCTTGTGCAACCACTGTGGAAGTCAGTGTTTCGGTTTCTCAGGAAATTCGGGATCAACCTATCCCTGGACCCAGCAATACCACTCTTGGGACTATACCCAAGAGATGCCCTATCATATGACAAAAGCATTTGTTCAACTACGTTCATAGCAGTATTATTTGTAATAGCCAGAACCTGGAAACAACCTAGATGCCCTTCAATGGAAGAATGGATAAAGAAAGTGTGGAATATCTACACATTAGAGTACTACGCTGCGGTAAAAAACAATGACTTCTCAAATTTTGCATGCAAATGGATGGAAATAGAAAACACTATCCTGAGTGAGGTATCCCAGACCCAAAAAGATGAACATGGGATGTACTCACTCATAATTGGTTTCTAGTCATAAATAAGGGTCACGGAGTTTACAATTGATGAATCTAAAGAAGCTTAATAAGAAGATGAACCCAAGGAAAAACATATAGTTATCCTCTTGGCTATGGGAAGTAGAAAAAATTGCCGGGAGAAAATTGGGATCTTGGGGGTGGGGTGGGATGGCGGTAAGGGGAGTTGGGGAGAGAAAAGTTAGAAGGGAAGGAGGGGGGGACTTGGGGAAAAAGGATGATTGGGATAAAGGAAGATTGGATAGGGGAGCAAGGAAGCACAATTCTTAGTTAAGGGAGCCACCTTAGGGTTGGCAAGAGACTTGAACCTAGAGTGGCTCCCAGGAGCCCAAGGTGATGTCCCCAGTTAGTCCCTTGGGCAGATAAGGATAGGGAACCTGAAATGACCCTATCCTATAGCAATACTGATGAATATCTTGCATATCACCATAGAACCTTCATCTGGTAATGGATGGAGATGGAGACAGATATCCACACTGGAGCACTGGACTGAGCTCCCAAGGTCCCAATGATGAGTGGAAGGAGGGAGAAGATGAGCGAGGAAATCAGGACCACGAGGGGTGCACCCACCCACTGAGACAATGGGGCTGATCTATTAGGAGCTCACCAAGGCCAGCTGGACTGTGACCGAAAAAGCATAGGATAAAACCAGACTCTCTAAACATGGCGAACAATGAGGGCTGATGAGAAGCCAAGGACAATGGCACGGGGTTTTGATCCTACTTCATGTTCTGACTTTGTGGGAGCCTAGCCAGTTTGGATGTTCACCTTCCTAGACATGGACGGAGGGGGGCGGACCTTGGACTTTCCACAGGGCAGGGAACCCTGACTGCTCTTTGGACTGGAGAGGGAGGGGGAGAGGAGTAGGGGGGAGGGGGAGAAGGGTGGGAGGAGGGGGAGGGAAATAGGAGGCTGGGAGGAGGCGGATACTTTTTTTTTCCTTTTCTCAATAAAAATAAATAAATAAAAAATAAAACAAACTCTAAAATTAAAAAAAAAACAACAACAACAAAAAACCAATGACTTCTTGAATTTTGCATGCAAATGGATGGAAATAGAAAACACTATCCTGAGTGAGGTAAGCCAGACCCCAAAAGAGGAACATGGGATGTACTCACTCATATTTGGTTTCTAGCCATAAATAAAGGTCACTGAGCCTATAATTCGTGATCCTAGAGAAGCTAAATAAGAAGGAGAACCCAAAGAAAAACATATAGGCATCCTCCTGAATATTAACCTTCATCAGGCGATGAAAGGAGACAGAGACAGAGACCCACATTGGAGCACCGGACAGAAATCTCAAGGTCCAAATCAGGAGCAGAAGGAGAGAGAGCACGAGCAAGGAACTCAGGACTGCGAGGGGTGCACCCACACACTGAAACAATGGGGATGTTCTATTGGGAACTCACCAAGTCCAGCTGGCCTGGGTCTGAAAAAGCCTGGGATAAAACCGGACTTGCTGAACATAGCGGAACAATGAGAACTACTGAGAACTCAAAAACAATGGCAATGGGTTTTTGATCCTACTGCACGTACTGGCTTTGTGGGAGCCTAGGCAGTTTGGATGCTCACCTTACTAGACCTGGATGGAGGTGGGTGGTCCTTGGACTTCCCACAGGGCAGGGAACCCTGATTGCTCTTAGGACTGACGAGGGAGGGGGACTTGATTGGGGGAGGGGAAGGGAAATGGGAGGCGGTGGCGGGGAGGAGGCAGAAATCTTTAATAAATAAATTAATTAATTAAAAAAAAAGAACCAAATGTCAGAAGTACCAAGGTTCAGAAACTCTGATTTATCTCCATTTCTTGGCAGAATTGCTGACAGTGAGGGCTCATTCTGAACCACTGCTTCGGGAAGACCTACCTGCATTGTTGGTTTTGTTTTATCCTGGTGGAGGGAATGAGGCCTTAAGACAGCTGCCAGAGGAGAGCGTGCCTTTGCAGATCAACTGGCCCTTGACCCTCTGAGTCCAAGCCAAGGAATGCGCACATGTGCCTGAAGTCCTCTGATTGGTGGGACTAGCAGGAGGTGGAGTCAGAGAACTTGAGACCCAGTCAGGCATGGATACACACATGTGCATTTATATGTGTGCACACATATGTGACATGTAAGCGAAGAGGAAAACTCTCAGGAAGAGTTCCAGAGGGAAAACCAGAAAGGGCAATAGGAAGACAGATAAAATATTGCGTGTTTCTCCCCCATGTGGACTCGGGATTTAATTATACCTGAGTGTTCCTGTGTGTGTCCTAGAGAGCCTTCTGTTACTCTAACAAACACCATCACCACACATCACTAAGGTTCATCTCATCTTACTCTTCCTAGCTAACAGTCCATCCCTGAGGAAGGCAGGAACTCAAGGCAGGAACCAGGAGGCAGACGCTGAAGCAGAGGCTATGGAGGATGCTGTTTCCTGGCCTTCCCACTCCTCAGGTCTTGCTTACCTGCTTCCTTATACAACTCTGGACCATCTCCCCTGAGACCTCCCTCAGCAGGCAGTCATCGATCACAAAAATGCTCCACAGGTCAGTCTGGTAGGGTTGTCTTCTCAATTGGAGTTCCTTCTTCTCAAATGTCAAGTTAACCAAACTCTGATTAGACCAGTATGTTGTGTTATAAGCAGTGCGGAGGATCCTCCCATAGACAATAAAAGAATGCTTCTTATTGGCAAAAGGACAAAATTACACAAACTCCTAACTCCACGGCCCATTTACCCTTTTCTTTATGAGGTGGATTTGTGTTTGATTTGAGGACAAAGGCGTCACCATTCTGTAATCTGACCTACAAGCATCTCTGTAGCTGTAACAGCATCCTTATCGTCTACACGAGGCAGAGTGTGGCTAAGAAAACTAAAGGTCTAAAAGTAGGCCCTAGCCTTTCATGTGAGGAACCCACTGCAATGATTCGTTACTGGG